AACTGCTTTACATTTCTGCATCAAATCTGCTCCCCTGAGCCCCAAACCAAGGCGATTTACCACCCAAACTCGCTTCCACATGTACTGCAAAGGTGATGGGGGTCAGTCGGGTCCCTCGGCAAAGGTCAGGAGAAGAACAGTGTTTATGACTAAAATCACAGTTTAAACACTTCCAAGAATTTCCACCTGTCAGAATAATGTAGTTAATACAAAGAAAGACACACAAAAGTTAACACATGCCCTTTTTAAAACTCACATTATTTTTGAGATCTGCTCGAGATCCTCCAAGTAATAAAATGCGAGTACTCTGGGAATGGCTGTTCTGGCAAGCCAGGTGAAGAGGTGTGTTACCTGCCTTAGAGAAATACAGGAAAATATAAAATCCATCTTTAGAAATTGGGCATAAAATCTTTTAAAAATTATTTAAAAGTAAAAATCTCACAGTTCTCAGCAGTGGGAAACTGCTGCTGTTATTTCAACATAGCTATGAACTGAACGAACCTGAGACTGAAATGCCCTCTCCAGCATGAAATCATTTACCAAGGCTAGCACAAAGGTGGGAATCAGACAGTTTAAAGAAGTCATCACTGCTCAAGTCTGCTTACAGGAAGCAAAGAATCTGGAAACTTTCTGAGTCATTAAAAATGAACAACATTAACGATAACTTAATTTGAATAAATAGCACTTCCCATGTCTTGATACTCCTCAGGACACAGTCTGGCTTCCAATCCTATTATCTTCATAACATTTTCCTTCTCTGCTTGTCTCTGTCTGTGGCTAATCTGCTGCAAACATCTGAAAACCGGCACATGTGAGTGGAAAAGAAAGGCAGGAGGCGAAGGAGGACCCTGCAGAGCCCACGCTCAGCAGCAGCAGCAGAGCAAAGGGCAGGTGAGAGTCCCGTTCCTCACTGGATGGTCTAACTCCTTCACCTTCCCTGTGCACCTGCATTTCTGCACGCTGGAGGACAAGAGTGTATTCACATGGATGCTTCCACCATATAAATCTAATTCTTGTGTTTGCAATTACAGGGTGCAGAGTTTAGGCTACAGAGGAGAGCCTGGATGCTCACAAAGCACAAAAGTCTGCAGGCAAGAGAAGAAAAGAGAAAGAGAAGGAACATAGAAACCTTCAAGCTCCCACCAAATCATAAATTACAGTTCTAGAAGGAAGCAAACAGGCAGTTTTTACTAGAAGAAACCTAAAAACAGAGGTTTTTTACTTTTGTATTTTTTCTAATATTTTGAAGGGTTTTATTGGTCTGACAATATTGGGCTTTTCTGGGCCTGAAAATGTTTGGTTTTTGGTCCCCAAGAACCAGAAGTGAAAAGGTGTCACACGCTTACTGGGCTGACTGACTGCTTCACTTGATTATCTTCCTTAATTTGTCCCTCTGATTTTCAAGGCACTGATCAAAGCTGCCGGATTTGAATTCCAAAGGGACTACTCCTAGATAGGATCTTTGGTCTTCTGATGGCACATCATTATTTCAGGCCCGAATGTGTCTCTCCTTTCCGAGCAGCCCCTGAAAAGCCCCTGGTGCTTTTATTAAAAGCCATCTGGAGCGTTGTCAGTGCCAGGCAGGAGGAGAGACCCTGCCCAGCCCGTGGTGCTGGAGGAGCTGCTCGCACGAGCTCGGGAGCTGGCCCGGCCCCTCTCGCACAGGGGCTAGGTGTAGAGGAGCATAGATACAAATCGCCCCCAAGTAGCCCTAGAAGAAATGACCAGGAATTACATAAAAGAGCAGGCTAGCATCAAACCCCTCCTGCTTCCTGAGCTCCAGAAGCCGGTGGCTGTCCCAGCACCTGAGCAGCAGGAGTCACAGTGCAGCCGCCAAGGTCTCCAGCGCTGCAGGGTGCTCCTGCGCGCCATGCTTGGCCCTGGCTGCCAAAAAAGCGGCAGCAGCCACGGAGCCTGGGCAGCCGTCACACAGGAAGGTGAGGTTCTTGCAAGGAAACCGTTTTGGGATGAAACAGATTTAAGCTTGTTGCTCTTCTCAAAAGCAGAAGGGGTGAAAGCGTGTGCGCGTCTAAGCATGGTCACTCTCATTTTTCAGCAGCTCCTGAGAAAAGCTGATGTCCATTAAAGAATACAATCCCTAACACTGAAGTACTAAGGGCGAGGAGCACATGGGCAAAGCACAAAAGGCCTGCACAGCAGCTGCTCACACAGAATTAACGCCAGCCAGGCATCAGCACTGCCAGGCTCTCCTGTGCACGTGCTTTTTAAAAGAGGTTGTCTCAAAACAACTGATCTGTGCTGTAAAGATTTTCATAAGGGCCTACACTAGTGTGGCAAGAAGAACTTTAAAAAAAATAAATATAAAGGATTTTTCCCCCTATGTTGATTGCATTCATTTGGGTAATTTCTCAAAATTGGATTGTGAATCCAATCCTTTTCCTATTAGTACAATTCATGTTTATTTTTATCTTACAGCAATCAAAATGAACCCATTCAGTATAAACAACAATAGCAACTCTATAGCACTTCAAAGAATGCATTAATTATGGCTAAAGAACACTGGAATTCCTATGGAAAAATCCACAGTAGTGGAGAGATGGTAGCTGTCAAAATATGGATTTCCTAATACCTGTGAGGAATCATCTAGGCTTGACTGATGCAGAAAGGATATGAAACCCCACTCTGTCTTTCTGAGAAATGCCATGAGCAGCAATCTCCAAGGTTGAGAGTCCCCACGGCGCACGAGCACGGGCAGCGCCGCGGGTACGTGCCATGGGCTTGTGCCTCACCTTGTTCCTGGCGAGGACGTTGGCCCCTGCTTTGACGAGCAGCCTGGCGGAGTGGCTGAATCCGTGCCAGGAGGCCTCGTGGAGCGCGGTGTTCCCGTCCTGCAGAGCACACGCACACGCGGAGCAGCTGAGCGCGCCGTGCCCCGCACAGAGCGCCGCTGCACGCACAACACAGCTGCTGCACGTGCTCCCTCGTCGTTTAATACTTTATCTTCCTTTCCCGCTACCTGATTTTCTACTTCATTTTTAGCAGAAGTAGAAATGCAGCAGACTTGACTTAGCAAACACCCTGCACGCTTTCATGTCTCCCAAACTCCTGCCATGGTGATGTGCCGCAGCGATGCTGCCTTGGGAGGACCGGCCAGGCTCCTCTGCTCTGCTGGAATGAAATCTAATGTTTCTAGCCTTCTTCCACAGTTTTCCCATAAAAAATTGAAGTTGTGAAGCTCCTGACAACTACTCGATAACTGTCTTTAGTTCCCAAGACAGAGCTGGGTATTGGGGACAGAAGATCATGCAGGTTTTGATTGTGATTCTACTCCACGTAGCTCAAAGAGGGGCTGTGCTGGGAGTTACTTACAGGTATGTTTCTTAACTAAGACACATAGTAAGTTCTCATCACAGAACACAACACTTACACCATCAGATTAAAAGCCAAAACCAGGATTAGCAGGTAAAAGAGACACTCCAGTGTCATCTGTCTTGGAACTCTACAGACTTTTATCTTTCTACCTTCTACCTCTACTTCCTACCTCCTATATCTGCCGGCAAGCAGAGGGAATAGCATGCAGATTTGGTTTGGCAGTTGGAATTAGTTATGTTTATTTCCAAACTAAATTTACAGTCTGGATTGCTCTGCTTCTGGGGTGAGCAACGGAAATTGTGCAGTGTTTGAAGTAGGGCAAATTAATTGAAAAATTACTGTGGTCAAAAGGCAAGTAAATCTGAAGTTTATACTGAAGATATGGTACATCTTTTTTCCAGTTCTAATTACTTTTAAAGCTAAGGCAGGACTATAACTCACAACCTACTCTGTGCGACCTTGGCAGTAGTGGCAAGGCTGCTGTGCCCAGGGCTCTGCTGCAGCTCGTTACCTTGTCTTGCCTGTCCAAAGCACACCCCTCCTGAATGAGAGTTGCGATGACATCCGTGTTGCCTACGACAGCAGCCCGGTGCAATGCTGTCTGATCACCCTGCAAAGAGAAGCAAGTGTTTAATCTGTGTGCTTGCCACCTAATTGTGATTTAACACAAACACGCACAACACACACACACAGGGGCTACAAATTCCAGGCTCATACTGCCCCAATCCAAGCTGCCTTGGAAAGCAGTCCCAGTAAACAATGATCATTACAGGTGCCAAGATTAATGAAGTTATTGCAGGTATCAGAGAGCTATGGAGCAACTGTTTACAAGGTATTTCATCTCATCACAATCTCATATATGGCGCAATTTCATATCCTAAAAATAGTCGTATTAGAAGGCAGTGAATCTAATACACTTGGCTTCACATACCTAATAACCAGCAGTATTTATGGGGAACTAAAGGGAATTATAGGCTGCTATAATTCATCATAACGATCCTCCACTACTTACACTAACTGAATGAGGCGCTACTGCTTTTCCTCTGACTGCTCCATCAATCCTGCTTGGATACGGAGCACGAGATGAGATGAGTCTCTTCAGCATCTCTGATTAATTTACCAATTAGTGCTAAGAGTGGAGGTCATTTTATGATGAGGACCCCAACTGTGAGACTATCAACTTATTTCATTCAAGCTCCTGAGCAGTCTTAAGGTCCAAATGACTTTCATTTCTCATTGACCTGCCACACAGAAAGTTTCCTGCATCCATATATTTCTTTCATGGCTCTGTTTCCAAAAGAAATGATGCTGATGTGATCATCTTGTCTGACTGCCCATCAGTTTCTCCTCTAATAACTGTTTAACTCATTTGCTGAGCTAGAGATACCAAGATTGATTTCCTACAAACCTTCTAGAAATGGAAGACTGGGGAGAATCCCTGGACAGGCTTTAACAAGGGAGCTACACAGCCTCCCGCACCGTTTGGCCTGTCACTTGACGGCTCCCTGCATGCCCCACTGCCACTTGCTCTGCACAGGGGGCACGTCTGGAGATTTTTTATTTTTTTAATGCACATGGTGGCACAGGGGGTGCAAGAAATAGTGAGATGTGTGCAAGGGAACTAAGCCTATTGCAGATGTGTGAAACTGTGATGAAAGAGAGGAAACTGGGTAGTTTGTGTGGTAAGACACAAATCTATAGGAAATCAAGCTGCTTTAGCTCCACTGCTTCCAGTCAACCTCTCCTGGGCTTCCCATGTAGTGACTTTGAGCTTGCAATGCTGAAATGCAGCCTGCGGATCCAGGCAAAGGGTTGGTTTTAAAGCTGCCCCCAGCCTTTCAGCGGGTGCCAAACAGCCTGGGAGTCCAGTCCACTCCTGCTTACCTAGGTAATGGCCACCAAAAACACAGGAGGGGCACAGATTTGCAACGTACCCATGGAAGAAGGCTTGCAGAGGAGGCTAGTCCTGAAGAGAAGAGAAACCCTCCCCGCTACAATTCTTTATCAGACAATAACAGATTATACTAAATAATAAAACTGGAGGGATTTCCTTTGTGCATGTGTGTCATACAGACTGCGTTTAGATAACTGGATAATTTTAATAATTTGTTCTCAACAGCAATTAGCAGGTGATTTATAAATTGCTTTCTGTGTGCTTCTTTTACAATCATGTTACCAATAGATAAAAAAACACTGCCAACACACATTTCAGTAACCCCCATATGCCAACTCTCATCACAAGTAAATCATATCATATTGGCTTATAATTATAAAGATGATTTTTTTTTTTTACTGTTTGCTGAGGGTTTTTTTTTTCCTAATTTGCTAACTGTGCTTTGTCTTTAGAGGTTACCTTGTCCATGTTAAAACTGGAAATTTACTTTAGGAGAATTTAAAGAAAGGCAGTAACAGTTCTAGGAGCTGGGACTTTTTTCTCAGAAAAAAACACAAAGAATTGCGAAGTACAGCAGATTCTCTGAACTTGTGTATCTATCCCTAAACTAAAAAAAAAAAAAAGGAAAAGGAAAACGTGTCCAAAATATAGTGTCTCACAAGAGCAATTGTCAAATATTTTCCAACTACTGCTACTACCCTGCAAATTGATTAGAGAGGTGATCAGATTCATGGGAATTAATGGATTGGATTTACTTTGTAATTAAGGATCTTCTTGCTGGGCCAACTTAAGTTAATGGTGTTCTTGTTATTAACCCAACGCCATTGAAGCAATTGCGTTGAGGGCCCCGACTGTCACAGGTGCCAGCCTCACCACACTTGACCTGAAGTCACCCTGCTCAAGAAGGGGAACTGGATGCTCATGCATTTCCTACACACTCAAGGGAAGAGCAAAGAATCTAAGAATAAGATGCAACCAGCACTCTGACAGGGCAAGTACCTAATCACACAACAGGGAATGTCAAAGGGCGTCCGCTCTTCAGCTCTCCTACAGCGATGTGTTTGGGATAGTAATGGATAAAGTCCATCCACGCTGTCAGGAAGGGTGACCCTTGTTACCCCTACGTGTACGGCCACATCACTAGGCTCGCTCTTCAGGAGGACTGAAGAGTCCAAGACTTCTAATTCAGGAACCCATAAGAGATGAGCACTGAGATCCTCAGCCTTACCACAGCAGTGCCTCTGGGCACAGGCAGCAGTGGAGCTTCAAGTTCTGGCGTAGCTTTTCTAGGGAAGACCCCTCCAAAACTCCCAGCTCTGAAGGCAACAGGGCAGGATTTGCTCAGCCATTCCAAGTGTGTTTGGACTTGAGCATACACACTACGCTCCAAGTGCTTAAGGTGCTGTGGGAGCTGGTCTAACAGTCTGATTCTCACTACTTTGTGAGTTCCTCAGCAAGCCAGGTATTAATAATATTGAATATACCACCACACATGTCACAGGGCTACTGCACTACAAGGTCTGTTTCCAAAGGGGAACCTGTGCTCTGCACAGAGACCTTGAATACCTGCTTGGGGGAGAGGCCTCCAGCTGGGAACCCTGAAGAAAGGCACACATGTAAATCTTGACATTCTCCATGCATTTTGCATTACTCTTTCCTTTAGGGTTTTTGCTAGGCTGGTGGTTCTCATTCAGGGCCCTGGTGTTTGCAATTACCATCTGGCCTCCCGGAGTTTTCTTCACACGCTGACTAACTTAAAGCAGTGGATGCAGCCACAGGGAACAGGTACCCAAGAACCTGACTAGCATCTACTTTATATCTGAAACTCACAGAGTCACAGAGTGGTTGAGGTTGGAAGGGACCTCTAGAGATCACCTAGTCCAACCCCCCTGCTCCAGCAGGGACACCCAGAGCACATGGCACAGGGTGGCATCCAGGTGGGTTTGAAAGATCTCCAGAGAAGGAGACTCCACAGCCTCTCTGGGCAGCCTGTTCCAGGGCTCTGTCACCCTCACAGGAAAGAAGTTCTTCCTCACATGGAGGTGGAACTTCCTGTCACCACAAGGGAAAGGAAATAACACAAGTAATTTAGGAAAGGGTTCCAGAGAGGTATACGTACACCTCCCAACTCTCTCACCTCTAGTTGGGAGCAGGGATAGCACATAGGTGCTATTCCTAATCCCCACATCTACCGAGAGTTGGTTTACACCTTTTTGCAATATGTTACTTTTTTTCTTGCTCTGATTTAAAAAATATTATAACCCTCACGCTTTTTCCTACACTTTCCCTTTTCTCTACTGCCTCCATCAGCTCTATCATCTCATCTAAAGCACCCTGCTTTCCCTCCTCCCTTTCCCTTGCAGAACCATCCAAACAAACTCTTGCTACCAGGGAATTGCCCCAAAACCAACCACAAAAACTTGTGCCTTCCACACCTTACACCAAAGTGCTAGACAGCTGTCTTGCACTGCTTTGAAATCAAGGCAGTACACTGATGGCAGAAGGTTTACAACACTTGTAAAGTAAAAATATGATTAAGCATAAAGTCTCTCCAGAGCATACAAGAACATTTGAGTATTCTGAAGCAGCTGTACACCACGGCAACGCGGCGTGCCCTAAAGTTTCTCAATGTCAGTTGGCTTCTCTCCCCCTCCTTTGCTAAACAACCAGCATGAACACAGCGCAAGAAGCATTTCACTCTGAGCAAGAAACGATGATGCACGACCAAGAAAAGCCATCAAGGCATAAAAATGACTGAAAGAAAATACAGCATAAACGAGACTTAAACGGGACTGCAGAAATAAGCCACTTTGCTTATCTACATGCAGCTAGAAATCATTACGAACTCTGGATTAATTAATTTTCTGTTTTTTAAAAACAGGAGCTTCTGCGGAGAAGTTTCTGGGCTCAGCCTTTGGCTCCGAAGCGCCACTTGTGCGCGGGGGGTTGTGAGCAGCGCGCGTGGAGCGGGAAGCGCGAGGCCCCGGCCCGAGCGCCGCGCTAGCCATGCAGCCATGCACCGCAGCAGCGCGCGCCCCGCCACGCTGCCGCGCCACGACCTCGCCGCATGCAGCCACGGAGCAGCGAAGCTCAAGGCGAGAGTGAGGCAAGATTTCTAACCTCCTTCTCTCTTTCTGATCTTCTAGGTTCCTTCCTAGCCTTTCTCTTCTGGTTTTTCTTATCTTTTTCATCCTTGGTTTCCTTCACCAGGACAACTTTCTCCTTGACTATTTCTGAGGTGTGTGCTGTATGGATACTCATTGACCACTCAGAGATTGCACTGGGATCCCAGTAAGACTTTTCAGGATTGGCAGGGAGAAGGAAAGAATTAGCTCCCGGGGTTGCGTATCCTACGGAGCTGGACTCCACGGGTTGAAATTCATAATAATCCCATTCCAGGCCACTGGAGGTCATTCTTCAACTAATTCTTACGGCTCTTACTGGGTTTTAAAGAATGTATCTGTAGAACATGAAGTCAGTGTTTTAGTCTCTCCACAACATTTACCAACTTTTAAGTTTCTGCTTATCATCTGGCATATGGAAAATTAGCTTGTAATTTGTTTATTAACTAGTCAACTTCAAAATCAAATGTTTTAGATGTTTATTGTCATTTAAAAACATGTATTTCAGCTCTTTAGAACCTGGCAGAAGATTTTCCTTGTCTTATCAGAGTTCTGCAGGCAAATATCAACTCAAGTTATTTACTTTTTAATGAAATACGTAATGCTCCCTTCTCTCATGAGCTATTTAATCTCTCAACCTAAGCGCATAGTCCTGAAAAACAGCAATGAAATGTACAAGCATTAATCAAAACTTTACTTGATGCTAAAACTCCTTCACTGCCAATGAACACACTCTAAAAATGACTGAAAGATAATCAATAATAAACAAACTGCAAAAGTGAATTGCACAAGGAGGAAAAAGAGATACAGAATCTTTTTAAGACCTGTATAAAAGCAAAGCAGACATATTGTTAGTAATATCTTTCACAAGTAAAAATCCTTACTTGGAGTCCAAGACAAATGCAAACACACACTCCTAAACCATGCAACAACTCCTGAGGCTCTTCTTAACCCCAACCCGATAATAAATACTCAACATAGAGTCAAAAATCAAAGCACCTTTTTAAAAACTTGTACCTGCAAGTCAAGCATGCACACAGTTTGTTCAGATTAGTCACGCATTTAGAAGTGATATCCAGTTTTCATGAACTAAGCCCCTGAGAAGCTCACAGGACAAGTGAAATTAAATAAGGTCTTCCGTGAGTCGAACACTTCTGCAGTGCAAGACTCTGCTGAATTCAGCTCATGCTAAGCACAGGTTTACTTTTTCCCTATGATGCCGAATGCATCAGGTTTACATATAAATAGGTTAAATTTTATGACTACAGGATTGAATAAAGAGGCAATTTTCACAGCAACCCAATTTAAGAGTAAATCATTGGCAGCCCTTAGAGTCTTAGAACAGCAACTTATTTTTTTTCAGGAATACTGACTGCACTTGTAAAGTACCTATAATTTTGTCTTGAATTCCTGATGTACCTTTTTTCCTGGGAGAGG